TTCGGTATTCTGTCATTTATGGTACAGTATCATACCGTAGATGACCGAATACCAAATTTTCGGATTTTTTCTAAAAAATTGGTATATCGGTATATATAATACCAATATAATACTACGTACTACTTAGGAGTGAGGAAGGGTCGGTTACAAAGAAGAATACCAAAATATCAAAATCAAGACCTACTTGCCCACATCAATTCTAAACTACTAGTGTACTTCAATTGGGCGGCGGCATTGAAATGTACAGAGCAGAGAGTTGGTGACGGCCGACGAGTGCATTGTTTGATATTATTATCCATGGCTTAAACATCAAATTTTAGTATTCCTAAAAACCGTTTAATTATGGTGCATGAAGACCTGGTTTGTGTAATCGCGTACTTGTTATGGCTTTTTGGATGGATTTAACTTTACTGTTATGATAAAAGTTGTTAAATTTCATTGCGCAAAATCATGAAATTCGACTTTAAAAGTTTTTAAAGGTGTGGTGTTGTATATGAAAAAGATATGGTGTGGTATACCGAAAAATATTCGGTATTACCGATTTTAAGGTACGAGTCTTTTGTCAAACGGATTTTTCGGTACTGAAACACGGTATACCAAAAGTTTTGGTTCAGTAACGATGTATAATTTTATGATATAGCAAATACGTATGGTATGGTATACGATATCTCTTGAGTATTTCAGTACATTGTACATTTGTACCAATCCACCCCTAGTGCTTGGTATGTACATGTTTGATTGGTTCAAGTTACTTCAAATTATTACCTTGGACTGCTTTGTTTAGTAGCAAGTGTCTGTTGATATTGTAATTAAGCTAGGAGCCTATGACCAACCACCCGAGAGTGGTCATTTGTTGATTATTTATAACATGCATGGGTAGCTCAGTTGGTAAGTGTTGGAAAAGTTGGAACATTGATCAAGGATTGAAACTCACAGCGGCCGTGTGGAGGTTACAGCTCATGCGTGTTTGGGCTGGACCTCTGGTGCGCACGGGTACAAGATCTACCATCATTGGGGCAGAATAAGTCGTCGTGACTTAGAACCTCGTAAATGCCTTGTCGGGTCGAGGCGTGGGAAGCCCGGGTTGGGGATTCAACCTTTGGAACATTGTTGATTATTTATGTCTGACTCCGTAATACGTATTTTGTGTACTTTGTAGGAAGTCATGATGAGTTAATCCAAGATAGTTGTGGGGTATACGCGCAGTTAGTAAGATTGCAAGTACAGCAGGCATATAGAAAAGATTCAGAAATTACAAATGTGGATGATGATGAGTCATCAACACATGAGCCTCTCACGCTTACCGATGATCCAATTCACACCCAAGAAGACCAAATAAAAAATGAAGAGCAAGAAAGAGTGGGTGATGATAAAGCATTGAAGAAAAGGAACATCAATACCGCCGCCGCGTGTTTCAGAAGGCTTGCCGCTCTTAACAAACCAGAGATTCCATATTTGTTTGTGGGAGTAATAGCTGCATGCTTTCGAGGACTGATCTTCCCCTTATCGGGCACCCTACTCTCCATAGCGATCAAAGAGTTCTTTGAGCCTCAAGCAAAATTGCAAAAAGATTCCATCTTCTGGGCAGTCATGTACATTCTTTTCGGCCTTTTTACTTTGCTAGTTGTGACCATCCATGATTTCTTCTTTGGAGTTGCGGGTGGCAAATTAATTCAGAGAATACGTTCATTGACATTCAAGAAAGTTGTCTACCAAGAGATAGCCTGGTTCGATCATCCTTCAAACTCAAGGTACATTACATATATATACGTACGTACACACATACCATTTTTAACTTATTGATCATTATTCCTTCTATGATCTACTAAAACATATATTATATAGCATTTGTTTTTATTTTGTGGCAGTGGTTCTATTGGGGCAAGATTGTCTGTCGATGCTTCCAGTGTTAGGAAGCTAGTAGGAGACGCTTTGGCACTTATCATTCAGAACATAGCAGCCATTTTGGCAGCCCTCATAATTGCCTTCACATCCAATTGGCTTCTGGCTATAACTGTTCTCCTTGTGTTACCATTTATAGGATTGCAAGGTTTTGTACAGATGAAGTTTTACCAAGGCTTTAGCAGAGGCGTGAAAGTAATCATATCATACTCTCTAGTACCTACCATTACTATATAGGCATGGCAATTATTTCTTACAATCGTATATGGGTCATGTCTCCATCAATTGAGGGCGTTTTTAATTGGACTCGTCTCAGTCCCAAATTAGACCACAACATACTTCCAATAGATAATCTTTTATAATTGATTTTATGTTATAAACACACCAGATCATGCTTGAAGATTGATAATTCTTTTAAAAACTTACTTTCATCTATAAACGATTGATTTTATATTATAAACATTTGCACATGCATTAAAATATTAGGTGTATGTATGTGTACGTAGGAGATGTATGAAGAGGCGAGTCAAATTGCAAATGATGCAGTTGGGAGTATTAGAACGGTTGTATCATTTTGCGCAGAAGAGAAGGTTATGCTGATGTATGAAAAGAAATGTGAAGGCCCTTTGAAGGAAGGGATCAAAGTAGGAATTGTGAGCGGGATGAGTTTAGGAATTGGTTCTGCAGTTCTCTATCTTGCAACTGCGTTTTGTTTCTATGTAGGAGCCGTTCTTGTTGAACATGACAAGGCCAGCTTTGCTCAAATCTTTAAGGTCATACATACTATATACTACGTATAATGTACCTACCTACATTTGGTCATCAATTAATCCACTTTTCTTAGCTTTTCTTTAATATAGTTTGATCGACATGCAGGTTTTCTTTGCATTGGCAACGACTGCAAATGGGGTTTCTCAAGCTTCTATCACAGCACCAGACCTTAGTAAGGCTTGGGATTCAGCGGCCTCCATATTTGACATTCTTGACAGAAAACCAAAGATCGACAGTACTAGTGAGCAAGGTATAGTTTTGGCTAACGTCCGGGGAGAAATTGAGTTGCAGCACGTCATTTTCCGATATCCAACTCGCCCTGATACCTTGATTTTCAAGGACTTGTGCCTAACCATGCCCGCTGGAAAGGTATGCACGTATATATGCATGCTTAGCTTAATTAATTTCATAAGATTTTATTATCATTATTATATATGCAGTGTATATCAATAATTAAGGATACAGACATGTATTATATGTACAATATAGAATTTGATAATGCTTTAATTTTGAATAGACATGTGCTCTAGTAGGAGAAAGTGGATGTGGGAAATCAAGTGTGATTGTGCTATTAGAAAGATTTTATGATCCCGATTCTGGAGAGGTGTTACTAGATGGAGTTGCAATCAGGAAACTGAAGTTGAGGTGGCTAAGGCAACAAATGGGGGTGGTGAGCCAAGAGCCAGTGCTGTTGAACGAGACGATTCGCGACAACATAGTATATGGGAACTGTTGCGGCAATGTCACAGAGGAAGAGATGATGGAGGCGGCAAATTCATCCAATGCGCACAACTTCATCTCAGCGTTGCCTCAGGGGTACGAAACTGTGGTGGGGGAGAGAGGGGTGCAGCTATCAGGAGGCCAAAAGCAGCGAATAGCTATTGCCCGGGCGATTCTTAAGAACCCCAGAGTCCTTATGCTGGATGAGGCTACAAGTGCACTAGACAATGAATCTGAGCGTGTGGTGCAAGAGGCATTAGAGCGAGTGAGTGTGAACCGGACCACTATCATCGTGGCGCATCGTCTGTCCACTATTGCAAGGGCAGACTTGATTGTGGTGCTGAAGAATGGAGTGGTCACAGAGAAGGGAAGACACGATGAACTTATGAGTATCAAAGACGGAGTTTATGCTTCCTTGCTGGCACTTCACACTCACACAACCTAACCTCAATTTAAATCTATATACACATGCATAAATCTATATGTACAACTAACTAATCCAACAATCACGCATTTAATTTAATATAATTAATCAATGCAACAACTCAAACACTTTCTTATCCACATATATCTGTACACTATATATATACATATATATACATATACATAGTATAATACTCTGTACAAAAGTACTAATAGGAATTAACGTGCGTCCTTATTCTATATATCCAAATGTTACCATCTTAAATTGAAGACTCGTGAAATAGCCAGCTAGGTTCAATTAGGAGTAGGAAAAGGGTGCGGCATTAGACGTACTGCCAGTGGTGTTTTCACCAATTCACGATTTATATATTGCTCTTGTACTATATATAATTCAGTTCTGATATTAATCTCTCAACACCTTCAAAAAATAACATTTACAGATCCATAATAATACTACGTACCAAATACTCGATCATACAACTTTTATGTGTTTTTGTGGTAGGCATGAGGCATGAATCACCAATTCAAATGCTTTTATTGTACATCAATTTTGAGTTTTTTACACTACCGTATAAGTGTATAACTATACCATGTATGACAATAAAATTCTCAAGCTATAATAACCCTCCAAATAATTCACAATATATTCTCAACATTATTAATAGTAAAATGAATTCAATCTCATGTATAAAAGAAGTGAGCCCCCTGATCAAATTGTGCACCTATTTAAACTCGAAGTTAATTTTCAGCCAAGTAATTAAAAAATAAAAAATCAATTTAATTTTTTTTTAAAATGAAACATCTCCAGAAAACCAAATCAAACAAACACGGTATGGTAGAACTTGCTAAGAAGCAGAACTTGGCTTGTGTGTAGTGTATATTCTATGTTGGTTGTTAAATTATATCCCGTATGGCTGGACTCTGGAAGGTCTCTGGCTCTCTGAATAGGCATGCAGAATACCGGCACCTTAAGACTCCTTTGGCGCACATGTTTTATATTTACAAAACATTGTTTACTTTTTGAATTTTTGTTACTGTATTAAATACTCCTATAGTCCTATGTCCCTATCTATTCGCATATAGTTATCACTTCCCGTGCATTACTTGGTTATATATTATCTCCGTCTGTAAGGGGAATAATATTGAAATATTTTAGATTGATAAATTGTATTACCACCAAAGGAGCTAATTTTATTCAACTGCACAAAAACATTGAACAAATCCTGGCGTGTTTACACTTCACACCTCCCTTCCTTAACAGTTAACACTAGACAATAACACGAGTTGAAGATGCTTCCAAATGCTGGGAATTTAGTATGTTATGTTTTAAGATAGATTCATTCGCATATTTTTACAAAATTCAATGTACAATTTTTTCAAGCCTAACCAGTCACATTTCCACAACAATATTGCACTCCACAAAAGGCTATAAACATTATAACCACTTCCATATTTTCTCCCCTTCTCAACACGTCATATAAACAAGTCGAGGTGAGCCAAGAGAACAAAAACGATTAGAGACATGTATGTCAGTAGTCCTTATTAGATAAGGATCTCCCCCTCTTCCCCATCTTCATTTAAAACTGCTTCTTCTTCTTGCAGAATTTCCTCCTTTATATACAAACCAAGCCTCTCTAGTGGATTTCTAGCTTCAGAAAGATTCACTCCAACTCCATAGACAAGTATATCATTAGAGCGTGGGCATTGACAAAGCTTCTCAAGATCTTTGAGTATCTTCAAATTGTCATCAAGATCAACAGTTCTTTCCATCTGTGTACAACAAAAAATCATGAAGAGGTTTTCATTACAGATGGGTGGGGGTTTTATTTTTCATTTTAAGATAGTTCTTTTAATGTTATAATATTTACAATTATCTTGTCATTTAGTGATTACAGCAAATCAAATCTAATCCTCTAGATTTAGAATTCTTAAATAAAAAACTCTCCTCCAATAAATCACTCGCGCACATGCCTAGGAAGCACGGAAACGCCAATCGGGTAGATGTCACCGTCTCGGAAAACGTTTCACAAATGCAAAACAACGGAAAACGGCTAGAAATGCCGAGGAAATGATTCTGCGATTGTGGGCTGTTGGGCTGAATAGGGGAAACGTTTCGGAAATGAAATTTGAGGTGGGCCGACGCATTTCTTGTAAATTTTTAAGAACACCTGGGTCAGTCAATCAGTTGTACTCTCCATGGGCAGACTGAAACTCTGAAACAATACCTGTGAGGGCTGCGACTTGCGAATCCTCACTTAGAAAGAGTGCAACACTCGACGAGAAGAAGAAAGCGACGAAGGGCGATTCGAACTTGAAGGTTGAAGCAATAGCTATGTTGTAAAAACCGGACCGCAAGAGCGACCCGGAAGAATGATCGGGTCACAGGCCAACCAGGACCTGGCGGGCCAACGCCGCAAACCCCGGTCAACTTTAATTTTTATATAAATTTATACTGCCTCTGTCCAGATCTGTAAGACATTTTACGGTTTACGATGTTTGACCAACGATAAAGCAAATTGACCCCTGTCAACACTGAAATTAGTTTTAGAAAATAAAATTTACATATTCAGAAACTACATTAAAACCACTACAAAACCTACAAAAAAAATAATTCAAATTTCATAAACTTTTGATATATAAAGTTAAAGATTAAGAGTGATTTATGTTACAATTTGGGACAAAGGGAGTAGTAATTAACATATCTTAATATATTTTAAAAAATAAAAAACATTTATTCTTCATTATGATAAAATAATAATAATATTTAGTAAGAAATTTTGTTATATTCAAAATTATTATATGATACTATGAATTTGTTTTAGTTTTAAAATATTTGAATATTTCAACATGGTATTGAATAAGAATTCTGAAGTATTTATGAATATTTAATATTCAAAGATATTCACACATTCATCATATTGTAAAATATAGTTTTAGGCCTATATGAAGCAACAATATTATTTGAAATTTATTTTATACATTTATAAAATATTTATATTTGATTTTCCTTCCATAGTAAACATTATTTAAATACGAAGTATATAACATACTTTGATTAAAATTATACTTATTATAAATGTTAAAAGTATTTTGCGAGTTAACTTATATTTGAAGTTTATATACACATTAGGATCATATAATAATAGAAACAATATGTATTATTTTATTTATTATGCATTCATGAATATTTATTAATACCATTTTAACTTATCAGATTGATAGATGTAATGCTAAGTCTCTACCAGGTTAAGCAGACATTTGGAGTGCATGTTGGAATTTCTCAAGACTAAGCAGGGTTCAAATCCTAGCGATGAAATAGCTTTTGCATTTGACTTACATCTGGATTCTTCCGGGTTCCCACGGGCCCGGGTTGCACCTGGGTCCGAGCGGGCAGGCGAGTTTTTCTGGTTTTAACTACATTTGCGGGTCAGTAGATGAACGGACAGGATACGTGGCTGGTTCACCAGTTTCCAGGCCGACCCACCTGGTATGGTTCGGTTTATTAAACATAGAGCAATGGGCGACGCTCACAGGACGCAGAATAGGCGATTCCGAGTAGAAGTGCTAGACTGCTGGACAGCTGAAGTTGGTGATTGGCATCTAATTGCTTATTGGATGGTGGGTATTCGGGTGAGAGGATTCAGATTATATTTGGCTAATTTATCCTTAGATGAGCCAGAATTGGAGTGTGTTCGTCGCTGAATGAAACATTTACTTGTTTATTTATTTCATATTTGTTGAACGAAATATTATCTATATTAGTAAAATTTTAATTTTTAGTTCAACGTTTCCTTGACGTACCCGTATCTTGATATTTTGACATTAGAGTTTCCCCATCCCCATCTCCGTCCAGGTGCTACTTAGACTGAACAACTGAGATACAGATATTGCCTTCACCTTTCATATAATTTAACACTTTCTTGTTTTACCATTAAGATGAGAGAGATACCTTCTCCAATGCAATCCTGGCAGCTTCCCTTTCTCTCTCCCTCTGGATTTTCAACTCAGTCTCTACCCTCATTCGCGCAGAGGTTTCAGCAGCTTTAATTTGTTCTTCAATCCTTGCTTTCTCTGCAATTCATGATATCAGTTAGATCCTGAGACAATACCCCAAAAGAAAATTACAAAACAGTGCTAATTTGTATTAGCAATGCAACTACTACAGCATATATGTGTCTTGGGAACACACAAGACATGCAAACCATTGCATCATTACTCTACAACAACATACAATCCTTAGGCCCAAAAGATTTTGGGGTCGGCTAACATGTATCAATACATGATAAGAGGAAGAAATCTGAATGTGAACCTGTCATTTAGCCCTTGTTGGGTTAGAAGACTTCAGGAATAAGAGGAAGAGTGAAAGAGCTATCGATTCTTCCTAACTCCTCATATTCCACTTGCCCAATTTTGGACCTTTGGCTAATTGGAGTTATCCTTTTTAAATTTCCTTTTCACCTTTTTTAAAAATCAAAATAGTTCTGCATCAATTTTGTCATACATCTAGATTACTATGTTTTTTATTGCACTAAAATATTGGTAATATATATATATATAAAACTATTATGAAAAAATACACACCCTCAAAGCTCTATTCCAAAAATTACATCTATTAACTTTCTTGTTTTCCTCCCCACCCCCTTCCACCAATTTTTCCTCGCGTTCCCATTTTTTTAATTGTCGAAGAAGGAATTACTGGTCATGATATGAATCTTAAAATAAGACAAACACAAAAGGAACAAATTCGGATTTTGAGCATTGACCATCTTAGTCAATTTAATGAGCTCAAACTGCGCCTTCCAAGAAAGATGTATCCATGTTTTTGACTTGGAAACATGGATAACTCATTACTTCATTATGTAAATAATAGCTCTTCTCAAATTCTAAAAATAATTCAAGCACACTTTCTTTTACCTGCAAGCTGCTGCTTTTGGAGTTTCTCTTTTTCTTGCTGCAACTTTGATGGGTCAACCACATCATCCTGAACAACACAAGCAATAAATCAAGCTATTTCTACCTTCCTATAATAATCACATAATGCATAACACCACATGAGAATTGTACTAGATATGGCATGACAAGAACCTTATGATTTGCTTTGAAAATTGTCTCTGCAAAACGGCTTTTAAGCATGGCAGCACGTAGCGCCTTTGTTGGGGAAAGCTGAGCATCAACAAGTGAAGCGCAACCTACAAAGAGAAAATCAAGAAGAGCCCTAACATTTTCTGTCAAGGTGGATAAAGCAGATTCTACATGTTTAGGTATGAGAGACGAAGTGTTGATTACATTTAACCTCCCTTGAGATTTGGTCAGTGACACCCCCTGTAAATTTGTTGCAAATGACGCCCTTAACACCAAAGTATGATACTCCATATGTTAATATGAGACACCAAAGTATGATACTCCATAGAGTGTTTTGTGCTTAAATTTGACTGCGGAATTTGTATCTCATCTGCCATCACCATTGGGGGATAGAGGTATGCTGTTTGATACTCCACAGTGTTTTGTGGCCATTAGCTAGCGAACTGTTTGCTTACTTGCCTACGTTTCAATATTCCCTTTTTCTGAAGCTGTTTTATGTTATTTTGAAACTTTGTTACTAAACATTTTTGGCCAAACAGTATATTCACATTATTGACACTGCCTTGCAACTTTGGATATCTTTCTCCTACTTCAGACTTTCACTAAAATTTCAAATTTATTTCAACTTTGTAACATCTGTCCAAACCTCCTAGCTTTTCCTATCTTATGAAAAGAGAATATAGGTTGACAGCATTATACTCTATCACAACCGTTCAGTGTCATATTGTCACTTGTGAAATATATTTGGCTTTTCAAGGGATATATTTGAACTTTACAGAAACGTTAAAGATTATATTTGAAATTTGACTGAATCTCGAGGGAGGTGGATGTCATTAACTCAAAAAATAGCCAACCCTTATTACCAGTGGCGGTAGTGGTGGCACATGATGAATGGTCAAAGCTAGGAATTTCAACTTCCTTTTGCGAACCAATCTCTTGTGGGCAGCATTTACACGGACTACCACAAGAGTCAACCTTGGGATCAACAGAGCTCACTGAAAGTTTGGTATCTGTGGAGACAATAGAATTCCGCTTACTAATGTCCGTCAACAAATGGATTTTTTGGATTAGCTAGTGAAACAAAACTAGCAAATAGATAAAAAAAAATCTCAATGACATCGGTCAATCATGCCTTTGTGGCTAGTTTTCCCAGAAAGGACATGTTGTGTCACTTCTGCAGATTCTGCCTGCATGCCAAAACATCAATGACAAGGCCGTGAAACCCCAAATTTCGAGCATAATAGTGAAATGTCATGATATGGTGGAATGAAAAAGATACGGAGTTTCAAACAGAAAATGTTGCAAAATAACCAATTGGATAAATAATAAGAAACATCTTTAGGTAAAATTTACCCTTATATCCCTGGCATCCAATGCGGCATTCAACACCCTCTTTAACTCCCATAAAGTTTCATCATCCAGCATGTCTAAATCAACTTTCAAATTTCCTTTTCCCATCACAGCCAAGCCGAACTTTTGGAGTGCACTCTGCATAGTATCAATAACCTTTCCCCTTAAGAGCTCAGAAAGTTCCTTCTTCAATTCATGTTTGTCCTCAACCCGCATCAACCTCTTTGTCGTCATCAGGCTAACATGCAAAGGGGTTTTCCTATGGCAATACTTATTTGCATCTTGAGAATCGTTTCCATTTGGATTCAGAAGACAACTATGTTCACCAGTTCGGCTCTTACTTTTCCACTTCGCTTCCATTACTTTCCACTTTTTATTGAAAAAACAGTTCAACTCCTTTGCCATGACATGAAATTCATTCATGGGTGGGTTATATCTCATGCAATTAGCAAATACGAGCCTGATATCAGCTGCAAATTCCTCAATAGTGGAGTATAAGTTGTTTCTTAACTTTGATTTAATTGTGCCCAGATCCATAGGGTTAGTGATAATATCAAAATAATCAGGAATGTTGAAAGCAACAGGGTCTACAGGTTTTAGGAAAGCCCACCCTAGTTTGTGAGTCATTAGACCTTCAAGAATAGTTCCACATTGTTGCTTAATACTCCTGTCCATTTTCCGCCTTTTCACCTTTTCAGCATCAACTGTTGCTTGGGGTCCTCTCTTATTAGAGTTGGCTGGTACAGGTACAGGAAGCTTAAACTTTATATTCATCCCAGGCTTGTTTTTATCATCCAAAGATTTTTGTCGACTTTGTGTATCATTGTTGATGTTGATTTTCGCCTCATTTTCGTGAGCATCTATTTCACAGCGAGTTCCAACTGTTTTTGAGCCGATCTTGATTTTAAGCTTTTTCACTACAGTTTCTGTTACCATCATTGTCTGGAAATTAAAGCAAAGAGTCTCTTTAATTTCCTGATGACAGGTACTTAGCACCATAGATATGGTAACACATCAAATTGCTGGAACACTTAATTGTTTCCATGACACGGAATAATCATCATAATGGAGTACAAAGAAACAAGAGGTCAAAGTCATCCTGTCAGAATTAATTAAAATACAATAAAAGTTCAGAATATAGCCTTTACAAATTAGGCTGTAGTTATAGAAGGAAATAAAATAAAATACCCAAGTCATAGAGAATTTAAATTTCAAATATTCAAGTAGAAAGCATAAAACTCTTAATAGGTATTGTGAAGGTATCTAAAGGGGGTGCAAAACTCAAAAACGAAATCGATGATTAAAATTCAGGGAAGAATAAACTATAAGACGAAGTACTAGAAGGAATATTAAATGCCAAAACAAAAGACAGCAACTTTAGAACATTCACATTCTGTATAGAGCATCTGGTCGGCCAGAGGAGCGAAAAAAATGTGACTTGTGTGAAGGAACTACAAGCAAGCAGCAAAAAAGGTGGAGAAATTGAAAGCATAAATACAAAATACAGAACCTGTAAATCCCAGATCTCACACTACAGCAAGTTACACGATGAAGATAGGATCATACTCACGCGGTAGCAAGCTTAATCAAATCGAGACTGCGCCGAATCCTTTGGTTCTTGAGAAGAGGCACAATCCCCAAACATCAAGAAACATACATGAATCGATGGGCGCGAGGCCCCTTCGTAGAGAAGCCCACACACAGCAAGGGGAGCAGTGGATAAAGGTCAAAGGGAGTGCGAGTGAAACTAGGGTTTTTTAATTGGCTTCGTTAATTCGATCTTATTAGCTTCCCCTTTTTTCCCTCTTTGCATAGCGCGTTGCGGTCTCGGCGGCACACATGGGGCTAGACCGACCCGGAACCTGACGATCCGGATAAAACCAGTTCAGTTAATTAAAACTCCGGTGATCAAAAACCGGAAAAGTCTTGCCGACCCGGCAAAACCCGGTCTAAACCCAGATCCGGAAAAATCCAATAAACCCGAAAGAATTCGATTTTGGTTGTTTTTCCACTTTTTTTTAATTTTAAAACATTTTTTACCAATAACATTTCAATTTCAATACTCTAATAAAATATTTATACATTGGTATTTTGGAATACTATGAGCTATGAGACTTTGTTAACTTTCAAGTGTTTAGTAAGTATTATTATTAGTTGATTATTATGAAATAAATACTTTTTATTTTAATTTTGTATATAATTATATGTTTATTATTGTTAAACGGTTGACCAGTTTTATAGCGTTGACCGGGTTGACTCGTGACCCGGTCACGCGGCAGGATCGCTTCGCGGTCCGATTTCTTAAACATAGGATGAGAGTATGTAGAACAAATTCCATCAAATTAAATTTAAATATACCATACTAGATGAGATAAAATCAAATTAAATCAGACTTTGTCAGTTATAAAATCAAATTAGATCAGACTTTGGCAATTAGAGTATTATTATTCAAAGAATTTGAGGTGAGGCAATTATTTTGGAAACTAAATTGATATGATAATTATTTTGAGAATTATAATAATCACTTAATATGGCTGATATTAAGAAGTTGTTTTATTCATCTGATATGAATATTTACGAACTGAAGTATTTGAGATCTGGTCTAATATGATTTGAATTTTTCTGATCTTGTATGATCCCGCATTATGAATCTTTCTGATTTGAATCTTCTGGTCTCATCTAAGTTTTTCAGATTTTGATCTGAATTGAATCATTCCGATCTAATCTAAACATTTTTATGTGATTGAGTGTTTATTAGTATTATTAAGTTATTATTATGAATATCATTGTCATTATTATCATCATATTTATAATTACACTTATCATTATAACTGTAATTACATATAATTATAATTACACTTATCAAGATAACTACAATTATAATATCATTTCATTATCATTATCTATATCTATATCTATATAATATAATAAAGCAAACTTTAGTGGAATGCTTTAGAGAAACTTTTGACATATGGCAATACTCTTCATAGGAAAATTCGCCAAGTGGCAGCTCCGTATTAAATTTTAATCCACATTCCTATGTAGCAGTTAGGTAAACACATATATATACTTGGCCTAAAATATACACACAACATTTATATGCATTTATAAGAAAATATAAAAGAAAAAACCTATTTAGCTTCTAAAGTTGGATGCAGACAAACATAAAGGAAACTTTTGAAATTCTTAACACACGTATATTCCTATCAACCTATGTAGCAGTTACGTTAACACATATGCATGGGATAAAATATACTTCCTCCGTTCCCTTTTAATTGCAACAGTCAACATTTCACGTTTGCCAACGCACAAGTGTGACCATTAATATCTTTCATTCCTTATTAGTAAAACATTCAAAAAATTCATATTTTGAAAATTTAGAATGAGAAGAATTTAATAATATTTTTAAAAAAAATAATTTATAATACATTAATGAGTAAAATAAAGTCAAAGTAGAATATGTGAATAGTGCAAAAAGTCCAATGTTGCGATTAAAAGAGAACGGATGATAGTATATGCACAACATTTATATGCATGGGATAAAATATATATACACAATTGATAAAAGAAAAACCTATTTAGCTTCTAAAATTGGATGTAGACAAACATAAAGGAAACTTCTGACCTTCTTAACACACATATATGCTCCATAATATGTGCTTACATCATTTATAAGCATTTAAAATGATCAAGAAAAATTCATTCACCTTCCAAAACTTCACATATACATACTTTGTACGGAGTATTATGTATTATCTCTGTTCCACTAACATTGAGACAAGAGAAAATTACATGATTACTAAGAAAAGCGAGTTTAGGTGTGGTTGATTATTAAATTAGTAAAGTAAGAATAAAGTAAAAATAATCTAGAGCCACACGAACTTTACCGAATATAGTATGAGACAATCTTAGTAGAATTTCTCGAAAGGGTAAATGAAACAATTTTTGCGGGATGGGGGGAGTATATTTTATATAACATGAAGGACACCTTCATATGAAAACGATGTCCCCCTATAATACATCGATCACTTATGTCTTCATGTTTACTTTTTATGCATATTTAGCCTACTTATTATTGCAGTCAGTGCAATGGTTATTTTGTTCACCTACGTACTTATGTGTTATAACACCTTAAATAGAAACATTTATTATCAATGTAAAGACAAAATAAATTCAAAATATTTAAGTCAAAAAACTTCAAAGATTCCATTTTATTTAGACATGTTTTTGATAGGTCATCAACCGGTAAAACTATTTCAATCTAAAATTATTAAGCGTTTTGCTTCACTTTATTGATTAATCATTACAATTATATTATTATTATTCTTATCAAATGTGTTGTTTACGTTATTATAATTATATTGCTTATTCTATGGAACCAAGATTCATACAAAGATTAAGAAGATGTTGATTTATAAGTTTGAGAGGCTTTTGGATGAATCCAAATTTTACATTTTGAAAGGGTTTGAAATAATTTCAAATGAGGACTATTATAAGTGTTACGTCTTCAACACATGACTATAATTGATATTTAAAATGGATTTTAGAGTGTGAAAATTAAATGTGCTCTTTTGAATTCTTATGTGGATGAAAAGTTATTAAATGTAAATTTATCCTACAAAGTACTCTAATTTCCCTTTCCCGCGTGTGTTGTTTTAAATATAAAACATTGTATAATTTATATGACAATAACATGTCTATATGACACTGTGCCTCAAAATTTTAAGCAATCTCTTCATATTGAAATGTTTACTACAATGGGATTTGCCACAATATTTAAGAAGAAAGTAATGGGTTAATGAATAATGTACAAAAAATAAGAGAGAGGTTGAAAAGTATAAAAAAGAAGATAAAATTAAAAAATAAGAGTAATTGAGTTTTTTCAAGGAAAAAAAATTCTAAAAAGAGAAAATAATGCAAAAAAAATAAAATAAATCTCAAAAAGAAAAGTGTAGCGAACAAAAGAATAGGGAGGAAATATAAAGCTAAGTAAAAAGTTTTACGCGGTAGTAATTCAAAAATTGAAAATGCTCGGAGTTACAAAATAATGATAAATACTTCATCTCTCCCATACATCGATCTTTGTCAACTTTCTTTTTTAATTGTCCCAAATACTTCACCACTTTTCCATTAAAGTATGAAGTAACTAATTTTTTATTCTGCGTATTTCTTTCTCCTCTGCACAAACTCCAACCACCCAATTTTATTTTTCTTATTATAATATTATAATAAAATTATAATATTATTATTATTTTTATAATAATAATAATAATACTCCCTCCGGTTTTTAATAAACTTCACACTTTCCTTTTTGGGACGGTCTAAAATAAACTTCACACTTCCTTATTTCCTTTTTTGTCAAAGAAATCTACACCAAAACAGTGCCAAACAGTGCCAAACAGTGTCTCAACAGTGCCAAACAGTGTCTCTACAGTGCCAAACAGTGTCAAACAGTGCCTCAACAGTGTACTCTACAGTAAAGTCAAATTTCTTTCCTTATTTTGTGTGAAGTCAAACTGTGAAGATTAAAAAAAACCGGAGGTAGTAATAATAATAATAATCACAGTAATACTAGTAATAAATCATATTAATTTAATCTGACAATATCATGTCTGATATGAATATTTTTTTATCCAATTTAACTTGATTTGTATCATTGTGATCTAATCTTTTAATCTGATCTGAATAAAATAAGAATAAGCAACAAATTTTAGACAGACATAACAACTCCTAGATCACAAGGGCTACCACATTAACATGCATGTAAATGTATTCATTCTTTTGTCTAAGTTTTTTTAGTATGTTTCTCCTAATTTAAGATTCATTTGTCTTCCCCGGCCCGCATCCTCGATTCACCCATATATTCAATTCTATTTTTCAACACAAATGTTTATTATTTCTAAATTTCTTCATAACAATTAAATGTAATTCATTGAATTGCACCGTTTATGAGTTCACATGCGATTTAGTATTCCTTATATTTTTTAATACTTCGTATATTCTAATTCATATTTTTCATAACAAACCCTAGAACATATTTTACCATGCGATGCACGGGTACATATACCAGTAGTTATCCATATTTTTATATTTGTGATTATCATCACAATAAACGTTATGAATGTCATTATACTATGCAGCATTACTATTATAATTAAATTATAGATTACCACCAACCAGGGGTGGAGCCAGGGCACTCGACCGTGTTGAGCTGGTTCAAAAAATATTTTTAAGAAACTTTTAAAATTTGGGGTGGGCCAAGGCTTAAATTGCTCTACCCTCAACCTACACTTTTATAATAACAGACACTTATAAATACTTATAATGATAAAAATCATTAATAACAATAACCTACAATCATAACCTACAAATATTAAGGTCAAATCGAAATCATCATAATAGTAAAAGTAATAAATTATCTATGAACCTTTCTCGTTTGGTCTTATATGAATTTTTCTTATTTAATTAGATCTGGTTTAACTGTTTTATGATGTTTTTACTTGTACTATAATTTGTCCCAGAACAGACCAGATCAAATTAGACTTGGATAGTTATAAAAATACAATGAAACCAGACTAGATCAGTTCAGACCAGACCAGCAAATTACAGTCCAAGTAAAAACATCCTTAGTGTAATATGATTTGACTTTAATTTGTCTGATGACTAAAATAAGAATAAGTAATAAGAAGTAAACTACAATAAGAATAAGTGTAACAGAATAGCTTCTAATGGGAGAAACGGCGGCCTTTCCCTTAGATTAGGGTCCGGACCTTCGCCGTCATTATGCGGCGCTCGTTTTTGACGCATCTTGGCGTCGATTGCAGGTTGCGAGAGTATATCGATCGAAGCAGATTCTAATAGGCTTGGGCGCTTGGCTTGTCGATTGCAGAAGCGTACAGATGTAAGACGAAGTAGGAGGGAACCACAGGGACGGTCGCAAGCAGGAGGGAGAGCCCGTGGAAGACCTCGTTGACAAGTACGGGGGCCTGGGAACCGGAGAATGCGAGGATGAGGTGCTGCTGGATGATGAAGACGAGGGGGCAGAGGCGGTCGGGTCTATGAAGCCGGGGGAGTTTCCGGTTATTGGGACGATTCTCACGGACATAGTGGCCGTTTTCCGTTTTTCAAGGATCTCATGGCTGCGTTATGGCGCCTGGGCAAAGGTGTCTCGATTGAGGAGATCGGGGAGAAGAGGTACATCTTTATCTTTTTTCACTCTGTTGATGTGAATCGTGTTTTGGACTATGGTCCCTGGTTGTTTGATAAAAATATGATTGCGTTGAGAGCTATTAAGCCGAGGGATATCCCTCTAAAAGTTCTGCTAGATACAGTTGAGCTCTGGGTACATGTTCACAATGTGACGTATAGTCATGATAATCTTGGGACGGCTAGAAGAATTGGGAATTATCTGGGTGAATTTGTCAGGTGGGACGATACACAATTTGGTGGAAAATGGGAATCTTACATGCGTGTGAGAGTTCGAATGAATGTGACCAAACCTTTGAAGGTTGAAACTATTCTAATGAATGGTAAAGGAGAAGGGTATTGGGTAGCTTTCAAATATGAGAAGCTCCCGAGTTTGTGTTTCTGTTGTGGTGTCATTGGACATGTAGAGAAATATTGTCTGCTTTATGAGAAAGGTGACCAAGCATTGACTAGGCCATACAGTTCGTGGCTATGAGCGGGTGGACGAAAATCAAAACCCTTTAAGGGTAGCAAAAGGTTGATCTCGGAAAGGAGCTTATCGGCAAAGGGCGGGAACAGGGCACGTGTGGAGAGGTCACCTCAAGGCCATAAGTTAGAAGGGGTAGGGGAGAGCACCCCAAGCAGGAATGCAAGTTTCTTCTACTCCCGGGGAAATTTCAGTGGTGGGAGGACTAGGAGAACGGAAGAGAAGGTGCATTTGGGAGGAACATGCCAAAGAGATTGATGTGAAGAATGCTATGATGCTGGACTGGCCAAAAAACGGGGTTGGGGCGGGTGCTGGACTCCAGCCCCGCCAGAAGTTCTGAAGCTGATGACGGCTTGTTAGCCGAGAGACTTCTTTATTCTATTCGTTTTGCTTTATTTATTTCCCATGCATTGGATGTTGATTTTGTTTTGGTTGCGCTGCGTTTTTTCAGCAAAAAACTCTTGAAACTAAGACAGGGGATGAGGAGTCGTGTCTGCAAGTCATAGGCTCAGGTAAGCCCAAAGCGGGACCAGCGAATTATATGGCTTCTACAGGGATGATTAATTCACAGTCTGGTCCTTGGGCGGACAGTAGAGAGGAGACTTGTTGTCACTTTGTAACTTGTTTTGGTTTGGCCCTTTTTGTTATGATAAGTTAAGCCAGTTTCGTTAAAAAAAAAATAACTTCTAATGATATGTTTTTCTTCTACTTTTTCTCTAGACTTTTACATTAATGATTCCATCTCCATTACGAACTAATCAAATCCTTTAATGTGTGGAGTCTACATAATGTCAAGTGTTAGTTATTTAACGGTTTCCTCCTACTTTTTTTCTCCCTTTTCCATTATAGCTGTTTCATATCCTTCATTTGGAACTAATTAAATGTTTTCATAATAATGATAATAGACTTTTTGTTAACCCATATATAACTGAATGGCCTGGCATGTCTGTAGTTTGTAACCCTGTTTTACTAAATATTATGTAAAACAATAGATTTAAATATTTAATAAAAATTGGATTTCTTATGTGTCACAACTACTCTATAAATGTGCACTTCTCATAATGCACATTTAAACTCAAATTGTACTATACATTTGCTATATCATTGATTTATAGCACAATTTTTACAATAGTTTTTTATATATGCAAGTTGGTGTCATATAAAAGATCATAAAACTTTATGATATTTTTATATTTTTTTTGTAAAATTCGGAGTGATGCACCGAATGAGTTGCCTATGTTAAAATGAATAGTAGTGATGAACTAAGTGAATAACAGTGACGCACCGAGTGAACTTAGATTAATTAAATGATTTAGTAGTAATGATAATGGAATTTTTATTAACTAAGAAGAAACTCACTAGTAATTGATTTATAATTCAGTTTTATTATATAAATAATATTTTTTTGTATTATATATGTAATATTGATGTCATATAAAATATTATAAAAACTTATGAATTTTGATACATTTCTTATCAAAATTGGAGTACAAAAAAATTCTCCTCCCCTTTGCATAAGTTGGAGTGATTAAAATGAATAACATTGATGCACCAAATACATAGTAGTGAAACACCAATTAAACTTGAATTAATTAAATGTTTTGGTAGAAGTGATAATAGATATTTTATCAACTAATAAGAAACTAACACATTACTGGTTTATAACTCAGTTTTATTATATAAAATAATAATATTTTTATTTTATATATGCAATATTGATGGAATATGAATATAATGATTGTGAGAATTTATGAATTTTGATTTGATTTTTAGAAAGATTGGAGTACAAATAAAAGAGTTATATCACCTTAAGAAGAGATTTTTTTCGTTCACTTTCTCCAAATGAGTTGGCGTGATTAATATGAATAGCTCTAATGCACCTGGTGAATAGCAGTGATGTATGCATCGAGTTAACTTGCATTAATTAAATTTTGGTAGAAGTGTTAATAAAAATTTTATTAACGAATAAGAGGCTGACACATCATTTATTTTTAACTCAATTTTTTTGTACAAAATAATGATTTTATTTTTATATATGCAATACCGGTGTCATATTAAAGATCGTAAAAAATTATAAATTTGATGTATTTCTTGTAAAAATTGGAGTACAAATAAATAAGTTATACTCCCTCTATCCCTATTTAAAAGTGTTACTTTGTTTAACACACAATTTAAGAAAGTGACATTGTTTGACATTATTTTGACACTGTTTGGGATTGCTTTACTATTTTGTTTACCAAATAAGGAAAGTGACATTTTCTAGGGACGAATCAAAAAGAAAAGTGAGATGTTTAGTTAGGGACGAGAGTAATATACGGAAAAAATGATTTTTTTTCTCCCTCCTTTCCTTCAAATGAGTAGTGATGCATGTAGTGAATAGCAACAATGAACCAAGTCAACTGATATGAATTACATATTTTAGTAGTTGTGATAATAATTTTTTTATTAATCAATAAAATTTTAAACTTATTTTTGGTATATAAAATAATAGATATTATATATATATATATATATATATATATATATATATATATAATATTGGTGTCATATGAAAGATCATAAAAAATTATGAGTTTTGATATTTTTTGTAAAAATTGGATTATAAATATAAAAGTTATATCACTTTAAGAAAAGAGATATTTTTTCTCTTTGGCTTGCTCCAAAACAGCCTTGATGCACGATTTTAGGAGGAATAATACTATATAATAGTGATAAGGGTGAATTAATGAATTGTTTTAATAATAGTGATAATAGAATTTGCATTATTCAATAGGAAGTTGATACATCATTGATTTTTAACTCATTTTTACTATATAAAACTATAGATTTGAGAATGTCAAAATCTATTTAATCCTATTTCGGAAACTTTATTTCCCTATATTGTTTTTCTAGGACGTAACGCATATTTCATATTTGCATGTACGCGGGCAAATCTTTGTACTAAATTTTTGGATCTGCTTTCCAAAATTTACCCGGCATATACGTGGCGTTTTGCATGCGGCGGTTAAACTATAAAGCACATTCTTGAGAAGATATTTCATGAAAGTTTTCACAAAAAACCATTCCATGCAAGAAATGGCGTTGCTTTTTTATCCATTTTCCTGACACTTTAACCAACCCAATCCATTGGGAGCCATGGCGTTTCACTAAATTAATACCATGCATAATTTTCATCCGCACATGTTTTTAATTGAACTCTGTGCCAGATCAGAGAACATCAGAATGAACTCGCCCCATAATCTTTCCTCATTGTAAAGACAAAAAACCAAAACAAATATCCATCATTTTTGAGGAACCCAATGGAACAAACACCAAGAAGGCAAGAGCACACTGCACCAAAGGAAAAAGTGTGACAGGGTAAGGAGATTGATAGTGTTACAGAATGAACTCAGATGGGAATCCGCAACATTTAATTGCGGGCTTTCAATCAGCTCTTATCCATGTGTTCACAGATATACATATTATTACACTCTAGAGCTGCATGGTGGACTCCTAGAGCACAAGTACAACAACACATTTGCATTTTATTTGCATCACTATCACACACCGTATCACAGGCTCTGCCAAAGTAAAACAAATCCGGGGGAGGAACTATGTGGTTCTAGGAACAAATCGGATTTCGATTGCCAACAGCAGTTGTTTTTCATGCACAAGACTCTAGCAGCTTCCTTCTTGACTCATCCTGGGATCTTTCCATGTACCAAAAGTACAAAACCAACTGTACAACCCCAAGAATTGCTCCAATCCCATTTGGGGCCTGATTACATACCCAAAATACATATACTTTACAAAAAACACTTATAAAAGGAGTTGCACATTTAAAAGGTACCTTCTCTAAAAGTGGTATGTTGAATAACAAAGCTAACTGTTCCCCTATGGCCTTCTAAGCCAAGAGTTATCATGGCTTCATTTAGATTGGCTCCAGCAAAATGTATTGTGTAAGAATTTGGGAATGAAAGTGAAAATATGATTGTACGTAGTATTACTTACCGAAATAAATATATCATGCATGGACAGCCCATAGACAAAAAAAGAAAGGCTCATCAGAAAGGTTGCAAGTGAGAGATAAAACGGCATGTATTCAACACTTCTCGTCTTGATCACCATATTCTGCACACACACAAAACAGTTCAGCAAAATGCAATTCACAGGTCTAAAAAGAGAGGACAGAAGCCATACGAAAACACGGGTGTACTGTTCCAGGGCCAACTTACAATGATAAAGAGTGGAGAAGCGAACATGGAGATGAGAGAAAGGACAGACAAACATCCGACGAAAATCTGTCTACCCGGAGGCTCATATATACACAGGCTGACAGAAGCTATAAGCGCAAATACAGCTAAAATGCTCAGAACCGACCCCATCATTTTTAACTGCAACAAACCATTTTGGTGTATTACGTCACACCATTCCAGAATACAACAAATTCAATAAGACTGAGTTTGGAATGACTTATTTTCAAGGAACAAGTCCTTCTTAGAGGAAGAAAACTACTTTTACTTAATAAAAATGAAGCTTTTTTGGCACGACAATCCGGCATGTAAAAAGTGTTTTCAACAGTTCATAAGATTTGTTAAAATGTGAAAGCACCGGTACCCACAAGTTGTCCCAAACAGGCACTCGGGATGTTCAGACATACTTCATCCGCTGTTAAATAATTGCAGCACTTTCCCTTTTCAGCAGTTTCATTATAACTGCCACACTTCTATTTTTGATAATAAAAAGTAACCACATTGACTACAATACCCTCACACCCATTTTGCTACCCTTAATTAATCCAACCCATCACCGCACCCAAAGTTAAATATCCTCCCTCATCCACCCACGAAATATCCACCCTCCCCTTTCTCCACTACTTCTAACCCTGCACGTCCATCACTTTCTCGATGCCCAATCCCTTGACCCCAAATTGAAATTCTACTCAGATTGGGAGCATTCTGCTTCAAAAATTATTTTCATTATTTTTGTGTTTTGAGAAGTTTATACTTTCAAATTATGTGTGGATTAAGTCTGTTGAACTGGAAGAGAAGATGGAGGAAACATGGACAGTGGTGAAGAAACAGATGAAGAGGTCAATTAACAGTACATAACAAACTCAAAGGCACAAAGATGAAGAAGTCAAATTTGAAGACGGAAATGGAGCATTTATTGAAGTTTGTAAAAAACGGGCCATTTCAGAAACTAAAGACTTCATATATTTTTCTTAATTCTTATGCCCATTGGCATGTTGCATCTACAAATGAAAGGAGGATAGTAGGGAGCACCAACCTTTTTTGCCGCATCTGCATATATGATGAAGATGCTGATATAAACTAACTGGAAAACGGCTCCTATGGAATTGACAGAGAAAACCAATATGATGCCGGGAGTAACAATTGGTGTGCCATACCAAAGACATATTAAGCAATTCAACAGAGCATAGATATAAGGTAATCCAGAAAACTGTTCTGTTGACTGGCATCTGATTATTCTCTTGAAAGTTGGTCTGCAAGAGATATTGTGACGTCAATTCAAGTACTCAACATTTAAACGGGACCTACCTCATTCCAAAAGTAACCTCAAGAGGTGAGGTTTGCCTCACACTTATATACTAGACTCCGATCTCATTGACAACCCCAATGGATACTAGACTACCATTGGATTATTCTTTAGTCTTGTGTTAAATTAGGTCTAACTTGCCACAGAAGAATCCTCAAGATGCAAGATTTACCTTAAACCAACAATTAGAGTCATAACCTAGTAAGCAATGTTGGATACTCAAAATCAATCCCACAACCCACACATACACACATACTACATGAGTACATGTTCTAGCCTCTAT